AAGATAAGGAAGCCCCACAGTGGGCGAAATGATGACATCAGTAAGAGGTTCTCCAACCACAGCCTTAGTCCCGAGCGTGGGGTTAGAGATGGGCAGTGGACTCCTCACACATCCCTGTTCATTGGTTTCGGTGCCTGTCCCAGGCAGCTGAAATTCTTTTTGGTGTCCTTGGCCTCCCCCACTTGCAGTGGCTGTCTTCAAAGTCACTGGTGCCCAGTGTCCTTCCTTTCCCCCCAGTTCAATCCTGTGCTCAGGATTAGATGCTTTGCTATGTGTGAGGGATGTGGCACGAATGTGATAGCTGTGGGTGTTGGATGCCCCTCCGCCATTACTCCCTCAATCACCCTCTTCCCATAGACCCCAGGGCTGGACAGAGGAACAATCAAGGCCTGGACCCTCAGAATACCCCACTCTCTGAGCCAGCATCTCCAGCTAATGGAGGGACCCATAAGCCAAGTAAAGCCAATCAGAGACCTTCCCTGGGATGATTAACACTGGAATGGGCTGATGGAGAAGGTCCTTCTGTCTTAGATCTGTGATACAAGGAGCACAGGGATCTGTCCTGGTGTGTGGAGAAAGAGGAGTCCAGAGCCGTGCTGAGCCGAGAGGGTGCCATGGAGAGGCTGCCAGGCCTGGGCCCCGGATTCATGCCCCTTAGGGCCTGGAACCAGCCTGGTCCCTGCAGCTTCGGCTCTTCCAGTCTGTGAGCTACTCAGTGCCCTTCCAACAAACCCCCCTTGTTTTGCTTTAATCCGTTTGCATTTTCTGTTGCTTCTCTCTGGAAAAATCCTCCGTGCTTTGACTGACTCCAAGGTCTTCCTCCTTGAGATGGATTTCTTACGGTCACTATTAGTGATCCAAATATAGGAGAGTGTGAGGTGTTTTTCTCTGAACTAGTCATTTTAATGGATGACATTCAGGAAATAAGTAGGAAATTAAATTCATTGAAACACTATTGGTCTATATGTACTTTTTCAGTCTAGCATGTTTAAGGTATAGGTAGTGGGCAGCTATAATACAGACACTTTATTTTTTAAAGGGCAAAGACAAGGGCAATTTAATTTTAGATCATTCCAGACAGAGTTCAAGTCAGTGTGCTGGAAACCTGACAGAAATTAAATGAAAGGCTGGTTATTGGGTCCCAGTTTCAGATTATGACCCAATTGAGGGTCACTGAGGATATCCAAAAGGATGTGAGGGTTACAATAATTTTAAAAACACAAAAAGGTAATTTCTACCTCTGAGCTATATATATGTATTGGGTTGGAGGAAAGGGATAATTTTCTAAAGGGAAGGGGTACTGGGGAAGAAAAGGCAGCTTCAGAAGCCAGCCAGGGGGGCGGCATGGAGGGAGCCCCTGCCAAGGGCAGGTTTCTGAGCACAGCGTACACAGGCGGGAGTTTGCAGATGGTCCATTGGGTAGAACACAGGGTAGAAAAGTAGGTTTCATCTTATACGACAATGTTTGACAGATAATGAAGACTGCAGGGAAAACTGTGTCCGAGGCTGAATGTGGGCTTAATGGGGCAGCCATGATTATCAGTTGCATCCACCCTGAGCAGAGTTGATCCTGGTGGCCCCATGTGGATCAGGTATTTCCCATCTCCAATTCAGTCTTCACAGCAGAGGGAGTAAATAATTCCACCTCATCACAATGGAGTCATACTTACGAGTGCCCACTATTGACCTGAAACTGGGCAGGGAGGAATTTCTATTAGCCTATGTGCAGGTCTGAGCAAAACAGCAGAGCTATGGGAATTCAGTGTATCGCTGGGTGTTGGCAAATACTGAGTTTAGATGACTCTTCCTGTAAAGGAAAGAAACATTGTTTTTGAAACTTCAATCTAGGCTGATGAGAAAATACTGCAGAATGAATAAGAACAACATCTTGAAGATTTAAAAAATGATCTATAAACTCTGGAAAGAATTTTTAGAAAAATGATTGAGGTAGCAGCAAATAGCCCAGGCAAACAAAAACAAAACAAAACAAAAACTCTCTGAAAAAAACACGCACACGCGCTTGAAGGCGTGTTCAAACTGAGATAAAGAGACAATGGAATATGACATTTACTGGTTTTATTTTCCTTCAGGTTTATTTTGTCTTTTTCTACCTTCTTTTAGCTGAATTCTTTTGTATTCAATATTTTTTTCTTTTCTTTCTTTTTTTTCTGGGGGGGGGGGCGCGGTATGGAGTCTTGCACTGTCTCCCATGCTGGAGTACAATGGCACAATTTCCACTTACTGCAACCGCCACCTCCTGGGTTCACACGATTCTGCTGCCTCAGCCTCCTGAGTAGCCGAGAATATAGGCGCAGACCACCACACCCGGCTAATTTTTTGTATTTTTTTAGTAGAGACAGCGTTTCACCATATTGGCCAGGCTGGTCTCGAACTCCTGACCTCATGATCCGCCTGCCTTGGCCTCCTATAGTGCTGGGATTATACGCATGAGCCACTGCACCTGGCCATTTAAAAAAAAATTTTCTAATACATCTAGTTAAGATGATAAAATTTTCTCTGAGTACCAGTTTGGCTGTATTCCATAATGTTTTAAAAAATAATTTTTTATTTTGAATCTGTGTGGGTACATAGTAGGTGTATATATTTATGGTATACATGAGATATTTTCACACAAGCATGCAAACATTCCACAACTTTTGTTATGCTGCATTGAAAGTATTGTGAGATTTCAGGTTTCATTTCCTCCTGTGTGCAAGTTATTTAAAAAGAAGTATTAAATGCATTCTAAACAAAGGGGATTTTCCCGCCTATCTTTTGAACGTTACCGTCTAGTTTTATTATGATCAGGAAATGAGCCCTCTGTGATTTTTGCTTTTAAAGTTTATGGAGTTTTTTTCTGTAAGGGGCATTACATCACCGTTTTTTGGCAAATATTCTGAAATGTCACACATGCCCAACCTGATGTGAGTTGTGAGAGATTATGTTAAAATTTTCCATCGTGACATTGGATTTGTTGATATTGCCTTATCCTTGTAAAATTTTTACTTTATATGCTACTCTTCAGGTGAATAAAGACTCACAAAAATGTTTGCAGCTTCTGTCAACGTGACCTCCTTTCGTCGTGTTTAGTATTTTCATTCTGAGTTATATTTCGGTCACACTAATATATTACATCTAGTTCTGTTTTGAAAACATTGCTCTGGTATATTATTACTCATCTCTTCATTTTTAATCATTCTTGATAATTTTGTTGTTTGTTTGTTTGCTTATTTATTTATTTAGAGACAGGCTCTCCCTCTGTTGCCCCGGCTGGAATGCAGAGGTGCCATATTAACTCACTACAGTCTTGACCTCCTGGGTTCAAGCAATCTTCCTGCTTCGGCCCCCACATAGCTGGGACTACAGGTATATGCCACCATGCCCAGTTAATTTTTGTATTTTCAGTTCATGGGTTTTGTCATGTTGCCTGGGCTGGTCTCAAACTCCTGAGCTCAAGTGATCCACCTGCCTCAGGCTCCCGAAGTGCTGGGATTACAGACCTGAACCACTGAGCCTGGCTTAAATGTACCTCTTAAATATCAACATAAGTTCTCTTCCATTCTCTCAGTCTGTAGCTCTTTCAACAAGAAAAAAATGTGTAATTTTTTTTGTTGTACAAGATTTCCAACATACCCTAAAGAAGGGAACCATGAATGTGTCACTGCTTCAAAAACAATCAATTTGCACCAAGTTGTGTTATTTTACAGCAAGATTTTCTTAAAATTTAGGAAAATTGATGGCAGAAGCTTTTAGTTTATTTGGCAGATGGGAATGATTTAGCAGAAAGAAAAACCGATGATCATACTGAAAGTATTTTTATATTACACTTCTACTTAGGCATGATAGTGTTTGAAGTGCTGGTCATATTATCTGTACAGTTTTAGGTTTACCTATGAATGTTCTCATTTTGTTATTTATCCCTTTTATTTGTATTCTATGCGTTCCTCTTTTGGATCTGTGGTTTGGATTTTTTTTTTCCTAGAAGATATCTTCTAATAATTCTTAGAAGCAAGAACAGAACAGGTTCTTCTTTGACAAACTTTCAGTGAATAATATTTTCCCCATTAGTAGATTATTAGTTTAAAATGATTTATTTTCCTGATAAAAATGCTGTTTACAACAACATTTTCCCTTTTGACTTTGAAATCATTACTTTTTGTCTCCTTGCATCTGGGGTTACTTCTTCCGTTGTAGGTAAACTGTTTTTCTTATTGGTTTTGGGGTGCCCAGTAATTACTTTATAAGCAAAGTTGTTTGTAATGTATTAAACCAACAGAGAGAAATTCATAGTACTGGCATGCCTGATTTTAAATATTTACTTGAAGACATGAATTAAGCTGTAATTCAGAAGTAAGGGGTTCAGGATCTATGTATTCCTCACTGAGTTCCGAGTCCCCTAAGTTAGGCTTCCACATGGGTTATTTGTTGTCTGAGGGACTCTGCTCCTGTGGGAACAGCTTACTCCCGTGGCGTCTCAAGCAAACCTTTTTCTTCTATCTTTGTTCCTTTCCTACTTGTGAGGAATGTATGATTCAAGCTCTGTCCTTTGCCCCCAGAATCCAGAAGTGTCTCTTCTTGTTTAATAATTGCTTAAAGCAATAATGGTGCCATTCTGTTCTAATGCTTCAAACACTAGCTAAATATTTTGCAAAGGGAGTAAGGGGGTGGGGTGAGGGAGAAGGAGGAAGGGGAAAGAGAGAGAGAGAGAATCCCATGCCGTTAGTTCCTACCACTAGGGTTTCCTCTTTCCGTTTCTTGCTTCAGAAGTGCTTCATTGTTTTCCGTCTGCTTCCTTCTGTTTCGAAATAATGCCCCTTCTGTCTCACTTTTCCTGAAGAATTTGTCTTCTTTCCAATTGGTTGAAGCTAAAAACTGTTTGAAAATAATGGAAGAGCTAAAGTTATATTTTCAGTTTCGGGTACTAAGGGTATGAATAATTAAGAAAGAAAATACAATCTAGATTTGTTTTTAATGAGATACAGTTTTTACTTCTTCCGTAGTATTATATCAGAGGGAGACAGAACCGAGAGCCACAGAATAAGGCCTGCAGCTGGGAATAACAATAATCGTGTGATGTTGTCTACTCCATACTCAGCGCCTCCCATTCCAGGATCCATTCTGCTATTTCCATAACACTCCAAATGATTTCACATCTGTAAGTAATTAGTTGCAAAATAATCTGCCTTGGGACTGTGGGTGAGAGAGGGTTGGGCAGCAGAAGTTCCAACTGTGGTCTGACAATGTGTAAATCACGTATTCCTTCCTTCTGCTTTGTCTGCCTATCGACTGTAAATACATTACCCGGGTCAAGGCTAGGCCTGCAAAACACAGCCCTTTGAGAAGCTCAGGACTGATGTTACCCGCCACAATGGCACCGCCAGCTTCACAGTTTACAAAGCTCCTCCCTGACATTATCAGAATGATTTTCACAGCAATCCTGAGAGGTGGGCGAGGGTAAGGTTTCCATCTACTGTGTGGTGAAGTCAGAAGATGACACGATTTGTTTTGTTGTTTTCTTGCAAACATTTTCCTAACAGTTCATTAACTACAGTAACGCACATATGGAGGAGTGTAAGAAATTAAAATGACGGAGATGGATGAATTGTCCCAAAGAGAACACTCTCATGGAATCAGTACCCAGGTCGAGAAACAGAACAATAGCAACACTTGCGTGACCCCTTCCAGTCACCATCCCCCAAGGGGGACCACCATGCTGACTCCTAAATAGGTGACAGGACCCTTGGAGTTAGTTTCATGTGGAGAGGTCTGCTCGATGCCTCTTGGAATACATCTTCACATGCAATGCAAGGCACATGAGGAATCAATAAGGGATGAAGATTACCCAGTGTGAAGAAAGCTCATCCGAGTTGGGACTGAATACCAGGCTCCAGCGGATGAAGGCTGAGTGTGTCTGTGGGATATTACAGGAAATTTTATCCGTTGCTATCAAGAACTGACAAAAAGTTTACATAGAAAAAAGAAAATACGTTTCTTTCACTTTTAGAAATTTGTGGGCAAGGAGAAATACAGTTCTTTCTATGGACATTTTAAAACTCAGGCTGTAACTGCTCCTTGAAAGATAACTTTGGTTTAATCTTAACCAGAGGTAAGGAATGGACCATGTGATCTTTCGAGAGTGTTTCCTTTCCCTCCCTGTGCCTGGCTGAGTATTTCTGTCCATCTCTATGGGAAGACCGCATTGTGTTCCTTTAAGGAAAATGGCGTTTTGCTGGGACTAGGAGGCCGGTGTCTAATTTACTTCTTTCCCTAGGAGATGAGTATGTCCCAGACATGAAGGCTTTGCCGATGAATGTGCTGCGTCTCTGGGATGGGCAGAGCTGAAGACCGACGGTAATTGCTCCAGCCAGTATCTTCATCAGGTGGATTTTGGAAGCTTACTCTCCCATGTCCTCAGCACTATTCTCCTTTAAGTTTTCTCCACGGTCTGGAGAATTAGAAACCTACAGGCAACAAGCGACTTGTGGAGGAGTAGGCTGAGACTGTGCGAGGGTCAGTGCTGCCTTTGAATGGAGCCCTTCTAGACTTGGTTGAACAAGGTCTATGTTGATGTGGCCTCCACTAGAAAAGAACCTGGGAGGCAGAGGTTGCAGCGAGCTGAGATTGCACCATTGCACTCCAGACTGCGCAGCAAGGGCTAAACTCTCACCTGAAAAGAAAAAAAAGAAAGACTCTCTCTCTTTTGAGTCGGTGTCGTCCCCTTGCTCCACCCCAGACCCAGTGAGCTCTGAACAGAGGCATGCTAATATGAAAAGAGACAGCCAAGGTTTTACATTATGTCCATTAAGAGATGAATTATTCTCTTAATCGTTTTTTGTTTCATCCTCAAATAATTCAAAAGCTTTTAATTCAATGAAGGTTTGAAAAATAGGTAAGCTTATAATTTTGCAAAAAATGTGGTCAGAGAAGGAAGAATACCCAGGGAACTTTCTAGAGGATATTGAGAATGACCTAGTGACGTGCCATTCACCTCTCATGTCAACGCTACAAGGACGCTGCCCAGTTTCGGCTCTTTAATGTTTTAGAAGTGCTCGGACTATCTTTTTTACTCTTATCAAAAAGTTTAAGACAGAGTTTGGGTTAGAATCTTTTTTAAAAAGTTGACATTTCTTCCCTGATAAACACTTGCGTTCTTCTCTACACAGATGTACCTGCTTACAGAGATATACTATTTTAATTCACGTTTTCATCTTTGCCCTGCAGTTACATAAAAATGCAGATAATGAATAAAATCTGCAGGGTAATGTTATGAGGTTAGTTCTAAAATGAGTGAACAGAATGAGAAGGACAGGTTTCTTAGCTGGATTTGATGATACTGTGTATTGCAGATAGCTTTGCCCGAGCAAGGAAGGGAACACAGCAGCTCTTGAGGCTGCTGCCAACCTAGTTGTCACTTCGCTCCTAGATTCCTGGATATGGCGTCTCCATACCAATCTGAAAACATAAGAGAGCTTGAAGAAAAGCATAGACTCAAATGCAATAATCACTTGGGATAAATATTCTAAATGTATTTTTAAACAAGCCATTGTTTAACCACCATGAAATACGGTCACTTATCTCCAAAGGGAAATATTTAGAATATGAACCTCTCTTGCTGTCACATGGTATAAACAGAAAAGCAGGGACGTTTCCACTCAAGAGGTGCCCAGATCAAGCCTTTTCCGAATGACAGGAAGTGGAACCGAGACACCATGTTATACCTTAGACCATCACATTCTCTTGCATCTCTGAAGATGAAATGAAAGATTTAAACTTTAAGACATTTATTTTACAGCATTTGAATTATAAATGTGAGTTATTTAACAGACATTTTGAAAAATGTACAGAAAAGAAAACTAAATAAAATAACGAAATCTCCTTAATCTCATGACTCTTGCCTTAAACAATAAATTCGGGTTTTTGTTTGTTTGGAGTCAAAGTTCCGCTGTTGTTGCCCAGGCTGGAGTGCAGTGGCACAGTCTCGGCTCACTGCAACCTCTACCCCCGGGTTCAAGTGATTCTCCTGCCTCGGCCTCCCGAGTAGCTGGGATTACAGGCATGCACCACCACACCTGGCTAATTTTGTATTTTTAGTAGAGGCAGGGTTTCTCCATGTTGGTCAGGCTGGTTTCAAACTCCTGAGCTTGTGATCCACCCACCTCGGCTTCCCAAAGTGCTGGGGTTACAGGCGTGAACCACTGTGCCCAGCCATAAATACAGTTTTAACGCAAGTCTGGCTCAATTCAAATGTGTATTTACAGTTCTCTGAGTTTCAACAGCCCCGGGTAGCCAGCATCCAGAGCAGTGGGGACACCACCAGCCCCAGAAGTCCCTGATGTCCCTTCTGGTCATGACTCTGTTCCCTCCTCCAGGTCATCGGCCCCTGCCTTCTTTTCTAACATATTTAAATAATTTTCACTATTTTTTTCAATTTTTTTAATTTTGAAAAATTTCAAACTAGGAAAACTGAAATAACAGTACAACGAACACTCACATTGTCTGTACCTAGATTGACTTATTGCGAGCATCTTGCCGTATTATTTCTCTGAACCATTCTAAAGTTGTAAACATCATATTTTCCCCCTCATAAAATGAATCATTGATAAACCAATGCAGTTATAATAGTCATATTTCCCCCATAATTTCAATAGCTTTATAGTTTTTTAAAAACTACACATGATATGATCAGTCATTTACTATCATTTAACGACTTGACTTCATTTAGTCTCCTTTAATCTGGAAGAGTCTTTCTGCTCTCTCTCTTTTGTAATAATAACATTTTTCATGTCTAGGCTGTTTGTGTAAAATAGTCTTCAATTTGAATTTGTCTGGCTGTTTCCGAATGATTCTATTCAAATTAAATATTTTGGCCAAAATACCCCTAGTGATGCCATAGGTTACATTTCCGGAGTTGGGGTGTTTTTTCTTCCATATCTCCAAGTACTTGTTATTTCATTAAGATGGGGTGTTCACATTTTCTCATGCTTTGTTATTGTTTGGGGAGGAAGAAAGTTCATCAGCTAAAAGGTTTTTTATGATCTGCTTTCATCTTCCAGTCGCTTGTATGGAGATGGCGCTGTTTACCCTTCGTTTTGAGATGTTTTCTTTCCTGGACCAGGCAGCAATTACTGTCACATGTAGAGAGAGGTGAGGAAGTGAGGACCAGGTGGTACATGAGGTTTCTGAATTCAAGATATTCTTCTGTTTGTTTGTGAAGTGCAATTTCATTCAACATTGACCCCTTTTTGGGGAGAGGCGCTTTGCCTTCTGATTTTGTGATTCTCCTGTTTCTACAGTACTTTAATTTCTATTTCTTTTTTGTTTTTCTTCAACATCAAATCTCTGAAGGCTGCCCTTTCCAGTTAATCCTTTTCCTCTGGCTTCCAGAGATTCCTACCTCTCTTCCTGCAGACTTTCAATCTCCTTGCTTGTAATTCTCGGTAGCCATTGTCTCACACCTGTGTTCAGTGTTCCCATTCGGGATGAGACATTCTGGCGGTGGGGGGGAGTTTTCCATACTTACTCCCCTGCTTTCCTCTCCTCTTTTCTGCACTTGTTCTTCTGAATTTAGTCATTTATTTACCTGTTTTACATAATTTGAAGTTTGAAGTATTCTCTGCCTCATATTACGCCGTAGGCTTGGGTTACTGGTGGTTTTACTTGTACATTTCGTTGGTCTATGTGGTTTTCCGGAATATTTGGGAAGAGATTCAGAATACAGAATATTTCCTTTTGAGTTTTATTTCCTTTCCACCTTTTTTCCTGTTAGAAGTTTACATCATTGTCATCATGGGTCTATTCAGTGTGTTCCTTTTAACTTAATATCATTGCGATTTTCCCAGTTTCCTTCATAATCCTGTAGATGCCATCATATTTGTCGGTGGGCCCATAATATATTTTCCAAGTGGAGATGCCATGCTGTATTTTATCACTTTTCTGTTGCTGGATGTTTACACTGGAGAAGGACAATTACAAGTGTGTTTGGCATGAAGAGATTTAGCTCAGGCCATTTTGAGGGATGAGCACTTGGCTCAGGATAAACATATAATAAATCTTTGTGGAATCAATGATTCAGAAGAAAAATAAAACTGGATAACATTGCCCAAATGCGAAAAAACTGAAGCATCTTTTCAAATGTCCAGTTAAAACATATAAATCCCATATCCTAAAGGAATTTCATTAACTGTTTAGGACTTCATTTGAGGCCCACCAGAAATAAAATGTTCTGGGATTGTCAGATTGAATAAAGTTGAAAACTAAGGTGTTCGCTGGAGTCAAAATGCAACGATTGTGTCTTAGAGTGAAGGTCATGACAAAGAGCTTCGATCTGAGGGTAACTTTTTTTCAGGGTGACTCCTGGGGATAAGTAACCGTGTGACCTTGTCAGTTTGTTCTCCATTGCATGGGTGGTGATGATTGAACCAGAGCAATGAATGGGGCTTGCAGTGCTGGATGTGGTCAGTCTCCATAAATCATTTCTTCCATTGTCTGAATACATTTGGGCATCCATAGTAGTTTATTTCCAAAGTATATAAAGAAGCAGAGGCCAAGGGTGTAATCTTGGAGCTGTTTAAATAGAGTGGTTCCAGTCAAGACACGCAGCTGTTCCCAATTATTAGCCCATATATTCTAGGTGCCAGGGAAAACTCACAAGGGTGTCACTAAATTGAATTTTAAAGTGACCTCCTGTTCAGATGAAAATCTCCTAGCTGTTGTTTTTTTCCCCCGAATACTGGTCTCCTATTGAATGAGTTAGCAACACTCTTGTTATGAATGAATCATTGCTACTGCCTATAGAGGAAATCTGGATTGTTCCATAGGGTTTTCAAGGAACATCAACTTACCTTCCAGCGAACCCCTTGTAAATGCTGCTAGGCCAAAAGCCTGAACACAAGGGCAAGTTGGAAATCTTCAAAAAGGGCACACTCCAAAGCTTATCACAGATGACAAGAGTAGCTCCTTGCCAGAGCTGTCCCTGAAAAATAAGATCCCTTGGACATGGAAAGGCCATCTCCCAACACAAAACCTTACCATGGGATGCCCAGGTGCCCCTTCCACCTGATTCCATCCACTTCCGGGCTGAAGAGCAAAACTTCCGCAGTCACGTGGTCTGGGATTACACCTCGGCTTTATCACCTACGTAGCGTGATCTCAGGCAAGTTAGTTAGACTTTCTTTTAAAGAAAATCCCCTTCGTTGTGTCTGTAAAATGGAGATAATAAACTACTAACTTAATAGGATTGTTGTGAGAATTTAATGAAGTTACCTATTTAAAGGGCTTATCAAATGCTCACTGCCAGTTTCCTCCTCCTCCTCCTCCTGGCCATCATCACTGACCATTGTCCTACCTCCCAAGGGAAATATATGTGAAAGTAAAACTCTGTTTTTCTTTATCTGACTCCCTTTATTGAAGTTACCCATTTGCTGAACAGGGGCAATTTAAATTATTCAAGGCAACCTATTTTCTTTTTCTCCTTCCACATGTGTAGAGATTACAGGGAGATGCCTGAGCCCCTGTTTCACAATCCACAAAGCTAAGGGAATCATTTGTTAGGCCAATGGAAACATCTCTTGGGGTCACTTGCCGAGCCAGAATGTCACACCGCACAGTTTTCAAAACTGACCTTAAGTCAGTGAAAAATTCCTCATTGAACACACTTTCCCTAGAAAATTTCAAGAATTAAAGCTTGAGAAAAAATACATTTGGTGAATATCGACGTAAAACATGAAAAGTGATGTATATATAATTCTATGTGCCTCAGGAAAATATAGCAATAGGATATTTATTTCATAAATATGAGCAAGGCCCATTTAATTAGTTGTCAGAGCGAGTGAGTCTGTGTCTCAAAGCACATATGAAAGCTCTCTGAACAGCAGCACAGAGGGTTTATTTAGTTGTTCTGTTTTACTGCGGTAAGGTGCCAAGCTGACTCCAGAGAAATCTTGCCATGTGGTGCCTAGGAGTCTAAGTCCTAAATTGAATGTCAGCTGCTCTCCGTCCGTCCCCTGTCAAGAAAGCAACCTCAAGAGAATGAGCCTTTTACTTCACACAAGCGAATTTCTGATAGCTGGTGTTTATGATTGTTTTTACATACAGTTTTTATGACTTGTTTTACTTATTTTCTGTAAGTTTCCTCGATTATATGTCCCTGAGTTCAGTTTTCCCCTTTTATTCCCTCAGAGCTAACTGCATTTGATATGCTGCGTTTGATATGCTATCTTTTATTATGCAGAAGCCCTTTGATCTCTATGGAGGAAAGGCGCCATATAAATGCAGAAATCCGTTATAATCATACAGAAGAGTGGCTTTCTGGGGGAAGTCCAGCTCAGCAGTGCCGCTGGATAGAACACTGTACTAGGCTGTGGAATGCGAATGCCAAAGCGTCTGTTCAGATGACGGCTGGTTTTAGGAGTTTCTTTTTCACATTTCCTTTCTTACCGAAGTAAACATATACCCAAAAACAGTGCACACATTGTAAGTGTTCGGCTTGATGAATTTCAGCATACTGAATACACCCATGGAACCAGCACCCACAGCCAGAAATAGAACATGGCAGTGTCCCTCATACCCCTTCTCATTCCCTACAACCCCTAAGGTCACCACCGTTCTGACTTCTATCACCATAGATTACTTTCACTTGATTTTGAGCTTCAGATAGATGAAATCACACTGTCTATACTCTTTAGGACCTGGCTCTTTGTGCTCAGCACAATGTGAGTGACATTTACCCATGCAGCAATTCTCCAGGTCTTTCTGTTTTATGGTATTTTATTGTACAAGTGTATTATTTATCCATTCTCCTACTGAAAGATATTTTAATTTCCAATGTTTGGCTTATCTATAGTGCCACTATTAATAATATTTTTGTATGTGTCTTTTGGTGAACATATGTATGTATTTATTTTGGATAGGTACATACAAGTGGAATTCCTGGACCATGAAGTACATATGCATATGCTTGATGTTGGGAGTTATTGCCAAACACTTTTCAGAAATGGTTGTACCAATTTTTGCTCCCATCAGTGGTGTATGAGGTGCTCCGGTTGCTCCATAACCTCTCTGAGGGTCACCAGATTATCCACTTGTCCCCATTTGCCTCTTTGGCATATAGATTATTTTGAGCTAAAGGCCATTGAGAACCAGTAGATGCAGGAAAAGCCCTTAAAACAGCGCACAAGTTTTCCTATTGTAAAGCAAATTTATGTTATAAAGAAAATTCCACTTGTAGAAATGTCTTCTCTCCCATACCAAGAAGAGGAGGATTCTTAACAACTCTTATCAATGGAGAAAGCGCCAACTTAAATCCACTCAACACACTTTACTGAACAACCCTTTTTGACCATACTTTTCCCAGTCACCTTCCTGTAACTTGTCTCCCCCACCAGGAAGCTCAAACTGAGTTCTAACCACCCTTAGGACCCGTCACTAGACAGTCCCGTGTGTAAACCCCATGCACATGCGAATAAACTTCTTTGCTTTTCTGTTGTTAATCTGTCTTTAGCCAGTCTAATTTACAGACCCCACTGAGGAACCTAAGATGGGTAGAGGAAGAGATGTTTTTCATTTTCTGCTACTCATGTTGGCATTGCTAGTCTTTCAAGTTTCAGCCATCCTGTCGGATGTGTAGGGAAGAAGCAGTAATATCTCTCCCTCACCTATTTAAAGATTCATGGCTAAGACGCCCGTAATAAAAACAGAATAACAAGAGAAAAGCATAGCAAACTTATTTAAGTTTGACGTAACACTGAGGGATCCAGAAATGAAGTCCCCAAGAAGTCAAGAAAGCTGCGTATGTTTAATGGACAGTCATGCAGAAGTATGACCGGCGAGCAAAGGGTGTGTGATCCATCAACAAAGCGGGGGGAACACAGAGAGGCCGTTTCGTCCAGATTCTTCTGTGCCTTAATTTCTTCTAAGGAAGACTGATGGAATGAGGCTCTTAAAACTTACTTTAGAGGATGGTTGGATGATTCTTTTGTGGCCTCCTTCAGGGGAGAGTGGCTGGGGAAAGTCAGCGAGGGCTTCCTGCTTCTGCTGATTCCTCAAATGCCGACATGCCATAATTTGGGGAGAGCATGTCCTGATCCATCTCGCTGTGGTTTTAATTTTCACTTTTTTGATAAGTAATGATGCTGGACATTTTTACATATGTTTATTGGCCATTGATATATTTCCTTTTGTGAAGTGCCCCTTCAAGTCTGTTTATTTTACTATAAAGTTGCCTTTTATTTATTGGTTTATGAGAGTTTTAAATTTTATTCTTGTGATAAGTCCTTTGTCTGGTATGCTGTCTGTCTCAGAGATGACTCTTATTCTTCCTGTGGCTTAGATTTCACTTTCCTAAGGGTGTCTTTTGATAACACAAGTTCTTAATTTTAATATATTCCAATGTGTATGTATTTTTCCTGAAGGAAAAATTATTTACTGCTTTTGTGACCCATTAAGAAATCTTTTCTTACTCCAAGTTGTATAGCTATGCTGTTTTCTTCCATAAACACTCTTGTTTTGTTTTTATATTTATATCTGCAAACGCTTTGGAATTGAATTCATGTACATGGTTTGTGATGGGGGTGAATATTTACTTTTATTTCTATGTAGCTTTGCAATTGCCCCAGCATCATTTATTGAAAAGATCTCACTCTCTCGATTGAAATTTACTTTTGAAGCAAGTTCAAGGTCAAAATTTATAGCAGGGAGATGACTCTCTCATGCACAGGTTTTCAAACTGTTATGCAGGGGCATCACCATGGAATGGGTTTAATATGTAGATACCTAGGCCACCCCCAGAGACTCTGATCTGTTGCTGGATGATTCTCATGCCTTGAGGCCTGGCTGGTACTCTGAGGATTGATGCTTCCCTCAGAACCACCCTCAGTCAACCAGACTCTGAATCTCTCTGCCTCCTTCCTATGTGCACAGAGACTGTGTCTCCTGTAGGTTACTGTGGCAGCTATGATTAGTTAACAAGTTAATTTTGGGGGACTCTGTTTAACCAACTCAAATATTTTGTTGAATTAATATGCTCTCATCATTAGTATCTATCAGTTAAATCATTGACGTGAGTTTCACGTGAGCATTCCACTACCTCATTTACCACCCCATTCTGGTACTTGAAGTCCACGGCACAGCACATCCGCCGAGACAACTTGATTATATAGCTTGCCCCATTGTCATTTCATCCTTCTGTTAGGATCTGGCACATTCAATTAGCCTTGAGTGAACACCTACTGTTTGCCACGCAAATAATCAACCTTTTATCCTCAAGGCTCTTAGAGTCCCTGGTAGAAGTGTGGGCACTGACCGACTTCCTGACATGTGAGTGCAGTGAACAGTGATGTACGCCGTAAATGGGAGGGCTGTGTGCTCCTTCAGAGGAGGAGGAAATTGCCCCCTCCTTGTCGGAGGGCAGAGAAGCCTCAGTAGTGGTGGTTGAGCTGGGTCTTAAAGAGTGTGTAGGAGTTCAGTGAAGGTTAAGTGGGTGAGGCTATTTCAGGTAGAGGAAAAAGACATGAAACAGCTCAGCACGGTTAAGGAACTGCAGATGATTCCTCATGTGTGCAACGTTTCAGCTCAGCACGGTTAAGGAACTGCAGATGATTCCTCATGTGTGCAACGTTTCAGGAACTCAGAAGCCCCTGTAAGTTGGGAGGTAGGACCGCTGTCCCACTGAATTTCAAACAAGTCATTCCCAACTGCCAGACGGAATTCCCATTTAAATTAGTGAAATTTTTGGTGAGACAGCCTGTGCCCTGCAGTTGCCTGTGGTCCCAGAGGATAAAGTCTGTTTCCTTTTGAAGGACATACATGTAGATCAACCTGGAAGGAGTAGGCCTGGCCATCAGTGTGCGACTCCATTGCAAAGTGCTTGCTGCAGAGTTGCCTTGCCTGACACATGACACAGTTAGTGCTGAGGGGAGCCGGCATCTGCTCTCACCCTCCTTTGCTGAAGAAGTACGCGTGGTGAGGAGGTGCCCCCTTACTGACCCTTGCTGGGGATGGATGGGTAGTGGAGGCTCCTGACAACAGCCACCTTTCCCAATGAGGTCATGAGGACCTCAGTGCTGTATGATGGGGAAGGATATAGCCATTTTTGTACCATAGATAATAAAAGGAGAAAACCCTACTAATTTGATGTAAAAAAGATTCAAAGTCATAAATATCTCAAACTGAAAGCAAACCCCAGAAAGGCTAGTTTTGAAATTGGAGGTAATTAATTCCTCATGCGATGAGCTGAAATTCAACCCAGACAGCCCTTTTTTTGTTGTTTCTTTCAGACGGTTTACAGTCCAGTGGAAAGTAAAACCATGCGATCCCTTGGTGTGGTACAGTTTTACTATGTGTCTCTTTTTGTGATTTTGCTCATTTTGATCACTTTTTACGTGAACATGCATATAATGAATGCAGCTCCTCTTGTCCATGAGATTTATTTTACCCCAAGGATCTCTCCTCTCTCCATTGGTAGTCAAATTGCTAGTGCATTTCTGCACAAAAGACAAGATCTGCAGACTAGAGCATCGAAGGTGAATCGCGACATTAATTTGAAATTCAGAATTATCTTTAACTCAGAAAAAAAAAATGCTGCTGTTTTGCAAATCAAACCTGAGTTCAAAGTCAAATAATAAGGTTTCGACTCCATATTCAGGGAACCGTGAGCCTCCATATTGCCCTGACCTTTGAGGGTCTTGTTCTTAAACTCTCTTCTGCAGTGAAGTCGAAAATCTTATTAATTCCTAAATGTGGTGCTCATATTCTCAACTCCACACCCTTGCCTTGTTCATTCTCCAAGCCTGGCATATCCTTATAGCCATTCTTATTTTGTCCTCCACACCCTTGCCTTGTTCATTCTCCAAGCCTGGCATATCCTTACAGCCATTCTTATTTTGTCCTCCACACCCTTGCCTTGTTCATTCTCCAAGCCTGGCATATCCTTACAGCCATTCTTATTTTGTCCTCCACACCCTTGCCTTGTTCATTCTCCAAGCCTGGCATATCCTTACAGCCATTCTTATTTTGTCCTCCACACCCTTGCCTTGTTCATTCTCCAAGCCTGGCATATCCTTACAGCCATTCTTATTTTGTCAGTGGGACTGTCCACTGCAATTAAGATGTGCAAGAGAAAAATAAAGGTTTTTTTCCTCTATAACCATCTCATATCCTGCAGGAGCCTCTACCCTTCTAAGTAGTAGGAGAGAAAAGGATAACTAAGTACAGAATCCACCTTCAATCTTAGCCCCATAGTACCTTCGAGTCTCTCTAGGTAAACCTGTCTTTGGTGATGATTGTTAAGCCCCTCTGATTTCCATTCCCGGTCCCCTGCTTGCCTTTAGGTAGTGGCTGGCTGTGGTGGAGTGGACACAGCACTTGCTCTCATGAGCTAGTCCCTGGATCTACATCAAGATGGTGCCTGCATCTATGGATGGATTCTGGTCCTACCTTGGCCCCTGCCGCGCTGAAGCTCCAGCCTTGCCCCTGGGTTTTATTGGTCTATTTTTCTGATGTCTGCAGCTGACACACATGTCACCTAGTCTTTCTCAGCTGGGTGGCTCCTCTTTGTCGATGCAATGCCCTCTTGGTCTTACACCCACTCCCTGACTCAGGCACTCTGCTTGGGCTCTGCCAGGAGATCAGTGTGCCCTGCTGGATCCCAGGGCAGACCTGCTGGCTCTCAGCTTGGCGCTGAGGGAGCCTCTGGAGTAGACACTAGCCCTCCCTACCTGCTACGTGCTCTGTCCTCTCCCCTCTGCTGGGTTGCCTCATGTCTCACTCATGTCCGACTCTCCATTACCTAGAAGAATTTCTGGTACTTTGCTCAGTAAGATGCTTTTGCAATTGAACTGGATTGTGGATTCCTTTCAGTGGGCTGGTCCATGCTTTATTTGGCAAATAGATGCCAATGGCCACTATTTTCCCAAAATTTTATGAAGCTAATGGTCGATACACCCAAAGCAGAGGGATCTTCTTATCCCCAAAGCCTGGCTTTCAGTGTTGTTTTAACCCTTCTAAAATCTCAAGTTTCTCTAATAAAAACCACGGTAGTCTGAAGTGCTGGAATTTGGAATTTCTGCCTTCCTCGAGTGCTGATACCCCAATTTTAAGGAATGTGGGGAAAGGGAAATAAAAAGTTCCCCAGACGCTGCTGGAGTTTTTAGTTTTATTTGAACATATTTGGTGGGAGAAAGAAATGAGAGTGTGTGATGTATTTTCTTTCTGATTTCTTCTCCTTTGTTGTTTTTTGTTTTATCTGAGCACCTGTAGAAAAGTTTCCTTAGAACACTCCCATGTGGGGAAGTACCCAGTTTGAAAGCTAAGCCAAGGAGGGATCTAGACGGTTTGAGCAGACGGTCCCAGAGGCTCTGGGGAAATGAACTTTCTCCTGCTGAGTTGTGTTGGGATGGACAGGTGTGATTACTTTCCCCACCCATCATAAGGGTCATGGCCACCACTTCTAACAAAAGACAGATTAACAAGAGAAAGCATAACAAATGTATTTAATCAAAGTTTTACATGATGTGAGAGCCCTTAAAGATGAATATTCAAAACCCCAGGGAAAACTGTTTTTATGCTTAGACTTAATGAAGTATGGACAGCCATGTAGAACTGTGACCTTATTGGCAGCAGACCAAGCGGGGAACCCCAGCAAGGCCTTTCTGTGTAGCATTCCTTCCGCCTGGTGATGGGGCAGGACCCCCCTGGAATGAGGGTTTTCAGGGGGAAGGGAGAAGGAAGAGAGTGATTCCTCTAGATCAGTTTGTAGGTTTTCTGGCTTGCTTTTGGAGAGAGGGTTCTAGTTTTTATGACTCCACCTTGGGGAGGAGGAATTCTGGTTTCTATGATTCACTTCAGAGGAGGAAGAGGGATGGGAGACAGGGGGATAGAGAAGATCAGAGGGACCTTGCTTGTGAGATTTTTCCAATGTCCTTCAGTTTAAAGTCCTTAGCACACCAAAGTGCTGTCTTTGGGAGTATCGTGCTCTCAGTCCCAGCATTTGTAAGGCCAGGTGGAAGAGGGCTCCTGGAGATGCGGGGACGCTGGTTCATTAACTCACACAACTGTTTCTTGAGAGTCCTGGTGCTGTTTGACCCTGCGCACAGATTATCTTCAGAGAGAATGACTGTCCACGATGCTGATGCCGCTTAGGATGAGTGAGGGGAGTTTGCAAGGGGAGAAGGATGCAGACAGCCCCAGATGTTTGCTTGGAGGCCCATACTCAGAGATCGGAACACTGTCCAGGGGTGTCTTGTGGTACAGAGGGCAAGAGACAGAGTGCGCTGGTAACACCATACATGTCTTAGCCAAATGTCTCTTTTTATAGAGCTTTCCCTTAAAAGTTGCCTTTTCTGGCATTCTTTGTCAAGAGAATGTACTCTTTTCCTTCACTGCTGTCTTTGTGACTTAAAGCTGTGAATGGTTTCACATTTTGAAGTTCAATTCTAGATAGGATATCAATGTTAAAACTGGAAACTGATCTAGAGGAAACCTTTTGAATCAGATGTGCTATGTCCCTTTTAAATTTGTGTTCGTTTCTAGTAAGTGAGCAGCGCTGGGATTTCAGGACAAGTTTGGACATTGGAAATAGTGTTGAAAATTAATGAAGTCCTCTCATACCAGCAGTGTCTTCCTGACTGACTGTTTTAGGACTATTTAATTTTTAATGGTGATATTCTTTCCTGATTTTATAGCAAGTAAGTGACTTTAAATATGAACACACTTATTCTTTTTCGGCACAGTATTTCAAAGTTTAAGCTGAGTTTTTAAAACTTACAGTTTTTGCATTCTTAAATTTTTATAACTATAGTGAAGCAGGAAAATGTAAAAATTTGGGTTCAGTTTTCTTCCTGTGTATTATTATCTCATATTATTTCCATCCAAAATGGTAAATTTAATTGGAAGCTCGTGTGTGTGTGTGTGTGTGTGTGTGTGTGTGTTATCACCTTTTGAGGAAAAAAATGAAAACTGGTAGGATGGTAGAAAATGGGGGCAAGAGGATCAGGTCTGTCTTATGGAACAGGAAAGTAGGTGGTTTAACTTGATTCACAGTTGCTGTACTGATAAAAAGGGGTTGCTATTCATGAAATAGTAGATCTTTTGTATCTATTTCATCTTTATTATTTCAATGATCTAAATGCACATGGTAAATGACACTAATTCATGTGCTTTGTGTGGGCAGGAGTTCAAAGGCCTCATCGGCAAGAGATCCGGGAACCGAGTGGGAGCAGCCCCCACACTCGCCCCGCTACACACTGACTCTGTAATAAACTTGCTTCATCAAGCAACTCCATAACTTTTATGGGGAGAAATTAGGACTCAATTAACGTCATTATCTTCCTCCTTTGGGGCCCACTTTAAAGCACGGCAGGCCTGAAAATGGCCTAGAAGGAATAGAATTTGGTGCTAACAGAGAGCTGCTGTTAAAAGCATGCAGAGTTTCAGAGAAAGCTCAGATGCAAAGGATAAGTTATGATCACTTTAAGGGTCAGGAAGTAGAATCGGTTTGTTTCAGGGTGGAAGGATATGGCAGAGCTGTGTGGAAGCTTAAGTTGTACATAGAGAGCCCTGAGTCCCCATTCCAGCTCCACTCCAGACTGTGTGGCCAGCTGTTCCCTTTTCCGGACCTCAGCAGATAGAGCTTGGTAGAGCTTCTAAGCTCTATTCACTTCCAGCCGGGAAAGGCTCTTTTTACCGGTAGGTGCATTCCATAATGCTGTACGGCAACCAGCTGAGTCTCAGATTTTATTTTCTCCATGATTTTAGTTAACCTGAGGGAATGACTGGGGTTCCTACTGTAACGCGTCAGTTCCATTGGCACCGAGGGCCAACATCACATGCTGATGGTTAGTGGGTTAGTCAGTGCTGGTGGGGACCAGCCCTTCTCCTCACTCGGATTGACTGTTCTTCAGGCCTTATTATAATACCAGTGGATACAGAACCCACGGGTCAGAGTTCAGTCTTGTCTCCTCACTCTGAGCAACGTGAAGCAGTCTAACTCCCAGCAGGCATCATGTCTGCTGGTGACGAGCAGCAGGGCAGATGACTGATGTGGAACTGTGTGACATCATCCAATTGTCTATCTTCAAACAGATTTTCAGCTCTGCTAGAAGAATGTAAATTTGAATTTTAGCAGTTTCATTTCAGGCTACTTTACTTTTTTGGATTTTTTTCCCCTATTATTTTAAATTACAAAACGATAAACCATCAGTCTGAGATTTTGCTAAAAATGTTTTGGCATTTCGAGCTGGTTTTTTTTTTTCAATAAAGTTATGAGACATTCTTTGCCAAAACAGACACTGAGGTTTGTTGTGAAAGTCATTGAGATACAATTTAAGCCTAGCGCTGTTTTGAGTCATTTGAAATTGTTTGCACTTTTCCCCCAGTGGTCCAGTTTCAAATGGAATAAACTTGGAAAACTAGGCTGCCATCACCTATATGATCCTGAAAAATACTTTTGAAAGGAGTAATATCTTACATATCCTATACAAATAGACCACAAATTTGGGCTCATAATTTGATGATTTAATGGAAAAATCATTGTATTTTAAGTAACAGTTAATTAATCTGAGTAAATACTCTGGTTGCCCATTAGTAGGTAGGCAGCATGGAATATAAGGTGCTAAAAGGTGAAATATCCCATGAGCCTCAGTATTGCCAAGGACAGAAATCAAACACAGCAAGGTCTCGATTCTGCAAATGATCGTCTCATACTGTCTCCTTTTAAAACTTCTTCAAAGAGTGGGAGAAAGTATATATTTATAGATGAGAATAAATATCTAAATAAAATTTAAAAAGCGCTAAAGAAAGAGACTATAGGAATGTTGTATATTGATTCAGGTCTAACAAATACAAAACCAGTCACTGGTGAGGAAAGGATCTTGGCACTGTCTTTAGAAGTCTTTTTAATATATGTTTCTATAAAGTTGGCTGTAGAAAACTTTTTCCTGTGGAACATAGTGTTAGAGGTGTACATTTTCAAAAGAGAAGGAAGGAAATAGTCCCACTATGTAATAAAAATCAGTGTTGAGATGGAAGTGACTTTTATAAATCACACGTTTTAGGATATATGTTATACTTTTCTGCCTAATCATTCTAACAGTCAAATACGTAGCAACGCAGGCACTGCATGGAAAATGAACATAATTTACAATCAGTTGCATCCTCCCAAGGCTAAACCTTTGGATTGCCTCAAGTTTGACATGAGAGAAAATTTAGCTAAATTTAGTCTTTAGGATAAATAAATAGCCCTCGTGAGGGTCTCTAGCTTTCAGCTGCCCTTGGGTTCTGGTGGGAGCCATCTTGGACTCTCTTGGTGCTACTGAAGTGTGTCTTCATAGTCAGTGGGATCCACTGCAGCTTCCATTTGAAGAGCCTACTTATTAATGTCATCGCAGTTTTCTGAACAGTGGGTTTCCCTTGTTAAGCAGGAGTCACTGCACAAAGAAAATGCTCCTCATATTTTCTCATTCTCCCCTTCACTTCCAGGAACAGGAAAGAGTGGTAGAGTCTCATCCATTCAATGAATATTTGCTGAGCAACTGTAGCTGCCGGATAGGGTGCTAGGTGCTGGCACATAGGCCTGGCACTCACAAGGCTTTCTGGAAAATATAACAGGCTGATAGTCTCTGCCAGGCTAAAAATCTTTCTTTTCAGAATACTGAAAAATACATATTATCAGCGTAAGTGGCCTAATAGCATAAGTAATACCATATAACTTGTTGAGCCTTTAGCCTATTCACTGCCTAATCTAACACATCTTTTCCACTTAAAATAGGAGACAGTTTAATGGAGCTGACTAGTTCACAGCTGATGGGCTGTGTGCTCTGTCATGTTAGCTGCTGTCTGGAGAGTTTCAGTACCCACCGCAGGTCTCAGTGAGGGGTGTCATCTCTGTCCTCTGATACGAGAGTCACTGACACACATGGACTCTATGACGTGGTAAGAAAGGGTAATGGAGATGTCTTCTGTGATGTAGACACTTCCAAATTAAGTGTCAGAGTCCTTAACATTTTGGAGAAATATATATGAGCCAATACATTAATCGCAAAAGGGATAATAACAGAGCCACTTTGCTCCATGGATGTGAGTGTGACTGGAAGGACATATACCCAGGAACTGGCTGGGGTGTGAGCTCAGGGGTGGCCCAGGGTGGTGAGGGCTGCAGCTTTTGAAATTTGGGGATATCCCATAAGAAAAAGAAAACAAAAATCTGAAGTAAAAATATAATAGCTCTCAAAACATTCAAGTATGTTAAAAGCCAACGATTATCACAAAAATGATAACATCCAGAATGGTGTAATAGTTGTACTAATGATCTCCTGGATATCCAACCTCATTAATGCATTTTCCCTATATTTTTGAGCTGCACACTCTGACTACCTCTTCATAGGACAATTTGTATTAGATTTTCTGTGGAGTGAATAAGAAGACAATTTTGCTTTTCCTCTGGCATGGTTGATCAGATTAACTTCTTTTGCTATTGATAATTTTCAAGTTTCTTTCAGCTTCACACATTGCTATTAGTAAGGTCTTGTTAGACTCAAGCAATCCCCCCGCCTCAGCCTCCCACGTAGCTGGGATTACAGGCAAGCACCACCATACCCAGCTAATTTTTGTATTTTTAGTAGGGATGAAGTTTCACCATGTTGGCCAGGCTGATCTCGGACTCCTGACCTCAAGTGATCTGTCTGCCTCGACCTCCCAAAGTGCTGGTATTACAGGTGTGAGCCACCGCACCCAGTCAGAGCATTGTAAGTTTTATATGATCTTCATCCATAGCAGTAATTTCATGTCAGACAGCAAAAATAAAAAAAAAAAAGTAAAACTCTGTAGTCATATGAATCCACTCTTCTTGTTAGATGGAATACCAAATCTACGACCTCCTTCATGATTTCTGCCCAATATCTATCTCTCCTTCTTAAGGAATTACTGATTTTGCATGCTTAGAAAATGTTTTGGTTACAATTTGCTTTTTTTTCTTCTTCTTAGAGACAGGGTCTTTGTCTGTCACCCAGCCTGGAGTGCAGTAGTGCCATCTCGGCTCACTGTATCCCTGGCCTCTTGGGCTCAAGCAGTCATCCTACCTCAGCCTCCCAAGTAGCTGGAACTCCAGGTACATGTCACTATGCCTGGCTAATTTTTTAAATTTTGTTGTTGAGTCGGGGTCTCACCATGTTACTCAAGCTGGTCTTGAACTCCTGGGCTCAAGCTATCCTCTGGCCTCGGCCTCCCAAATTGTTGGGATTACAGATGTGAGCCATCATGCCTGGACCAGTTTGCTTCTTTATGTCAGAATTGTTTCTGTTGATTCCATCTAAAAATAAATGAGATGTCCTTACCTGGTACAGTCATAATTCGTGTGGTACATATTAAAGCTTTTGCTTCGATCAGCATTGGTGAGAAATGAAATTCTCTCATACGTCTGATTGGAAGAACTTTCGGCTGAGTAGTTTCTGGCTCCATATATTTTAAACCTTGTTTCCCCCCCACTACCTACATACTTTATGTGCCAAGTGCCACGGGCTCATTCCCATCGCACATGACCCCTCTGGCCTTGCACCTTCATCTTACACAGGTGAATCAACACAGAGAGCTGTGGAAGTTTTCCTGGAAAAACTTCCTACCAGGATATCTGGGACTTAACTGTGCATGGAAGTAACCATAAACCACACAACTCAATTCCACTATAAACCCCAAACCAAGTGTATTTCCAATTCAATGTACCCCTAGGCCAGCGGTTCTCAGCTACTGGGAATTTTGCCCCGCCATGGCCTCAGATATTTTTGGAAATGTCTAGAGGCATATTTGGTTGTCATGACCATTTTGGATGGTGTTGGTACTGCTGGAATTGAGTGGGTAGAGGCCAGGGAGCCTAGAAATATTTTACAGTGCATAGGGTAGCTCCAACAGAAATGGGGATCCAGCCCCACATGCCAAGAGTGCCAAGGCTGAGGCATCCTGACTGGAAGGGTCCCCTAAAGGCCACAGCCACTCCAGTGCCCTCCAATGTGAGCAGAGCTGTGATGAAGGTGAGAGGGGAAGTGACTGCAGTTATCACTGATATCAGCTAAAGTAGTTTGATTTCGCAAATATTGGGAAACAGCAACCACAGGGGCATAAACACCTTGCTAGGGAGTCAGGGGCTTTGGAAGGAGCCAGAAAGTGAGGTGCCCTGAAGCTTCAGCTTCATTCGTTTTATAGTAATAAAGTTTAAAGACTTTTTGGTGCTTCACGTTGGATTCCTTCTTCCCTGTGTTCTCCAAAGATACAATGTGCGTTGCGAAGATAAGGTGGTAAGCGCCCATTAGGCACTGAGCCGGGAGACTCTGCCATTTTTCTAACCGCATAGCCAACTGCTGCAGGCGGGAGGTGGCCGCAGCTGGTCTGTGCTTTTCACCTGAGGTCCGGACCCCTCACAGATTTCTCACAGGCCCTGCTTCTGGGGGATGGTGCTGGTTTCTTTGCTGAGATGTTGGCCCATTATGTTTTCCTTCACCAAATTTTCCCCAAATGTATTGTCTTTATTATGTCTGAATCCACAGTAGCTCTTTAAAATAAGGCTTTTCTCCTTCTGTTGATAAAGTAATCATGCATATGGAAGAAAATTTAGAAAGTGCAGAAAATATAAAGAAAGTAAAAACATCCTATGAATCACTGTAATTGGTATCACTGATTAACATTGTGGTGTATGTATTTCCTCTAATCATTTTCTGGGATGTATGCGTACGTGTGTTGTATCAAGTTTTCTGTCTTTATCTCTTGTTTTATTTAACATATCTCATACTTTCTGTCATTAAATATTTTTTGAAATAGGTATTTTTTCATGACTGTATGATATTCTGTCCTATGACTATATTGTAATTTATAGAAACATTTTGCTTGTTAGATGTTATATTTACTCCCTGTCTCCCACATTTATAAATAATGCTGTAATGAACATCCTTATACATAACGCTCAGACCACATCTTGATTATTTTCTTAAAATGAATTCCAAGAATTTGACTTCTGGGCAAATATTGAACATTTAAGGTACTTGATCCCAGTAACAGAATTATTTTCCAGGTTACAGTGTAATTTAAATTTGATTCCTGATGTCATCTTGATGTAAACCCAGGAAGTTTAATGAGAAAATCAGACCTCAACTGAAATAGCCGTGATTACGTAAAACATATGAAACTTTCCCGCCAGGAACACACAATGTTTGATCTGAAGGTGGCTTGAGACACTGCCTCATTTTATGTGAGTCTGAAGTGAAGCCTCCAGAGGCAAAGCACTCAACTGGGGGTGAACAGAAGATGGGTGCAGGGATGGGATGTGAACTACTGATGCTAATGTCAGCAGAATATTGTTCGATTTTAAAATTGATCACTATATTTTACGTGGTTTTCAACTTTCTATCTATCTGAACATAGCAATTCCATAAAATAGGCAAGGCAAGAGTTGTGATGGCCAATTTGCAAATGAGAAAACTGAAGCCCCAAGACACTGGGAGCCCTGTGTGTAGCCCTGCAGGCAGCCTGAATCCTCTGTTCCATCATGCCAGCATCTTTTGTTTTTTGACTTTTTCATAATCACTATTCTGATTGGCATGAGATGGCATCTCATTGTGGTTCCGATGTGCATTTCTCTAACAGTCAGTGATGTTGAGCTTCATAAGATGGCATCTCATTGTGGTTCCGATGTGCATTTCTCTAAGAGTCAGTGATGTTGAGCTTCATAAGATGGCATCTCATTGTGGTTCCGATGTGCATTTCTCTAACAGTCAGTGATGTTGAGCTTTCTTTCATATGTTTGTTGGCTGCATGAACGTCTTCTTTTGAGAAATGTCTGTTCACATCCCCACTTTTTAATGGGGTTGTTTCTTGTATGTTGGTTTAATTTCATTGTAGATTCTGGCTATTAGACCTTTGGCAGATGGGTGGATTGCAAACATTTTCTCTCATTCTGTTCACTCTGATGATAGTTTCTTTTGCTGTGCAGAAGCTCTTTAGTTTAATTAGATCCCATTTGTCAACTTTTGCTTTTCTGTGGTATTTCTTAAAGCTCCTCAAATGATTCCAGTGTGCGGCCAGGGTACAGAACACTGCACTCCACCTAGGATAGCATAAGGATTCACCTGTCCTGCCTCCTCTGATCATTTTGTAGTCTTGCCTGGAGGCTAGTGTTGAGAACGATTCTGATGCCTTCTTGTCTTAGTGAGAAAGTGAGCTGGGACTCACTTTCTATAATGTCTGCCATGAACTAGACTGGGGAAGGACATCAAAAGTGTCGTTGCTATCTTGGTACTACATCATATTGCCATTGCGTTTAGTGTCTAGAGAGCATGTTTTCCTTAAAGACCCTTAAAGACAAGGGTACAAGCAGGAGTTAGTGTGAGGGTATGACTAACAACCAGTCATGAAGGTTCTAAAGCAACTTGCTATGGCATGGTAAGAATTTCAGGAATATTTTCCTAGCACTGTTATCGTCAACACAAACATGAGTCAGGCACAGGATTGCCAGGTTATATTTTGGAATATGTCTCCATAGAACTCATGAACTGGCCTTTTATTTTGCTGGTCTTGGGATTGGTTCTGAAACCTTCCAAAGTACATTCTAAACAGAATGGCAAAGTGAAGACAGAAAGCTCCGTGTGGCTTTTGGGGACTCGTGTTAGTTTGCTGGGCAATCCTAACAAAATAACACAGGCTGGGTGGCTTCAACAACAGAACTCTTCTCCCAGTTCTGGAAGCTGGAAGCTCAACATCAAGGTGTCAACAGAGCTGGTTTCTTCCGAGGCCTCTTTCCTCAGTTTCTCACTGTGTCCTTCCATGGACTTTCCTCTGCATGTTTGCAACCCTGGTATCTCATTGTGTCTGAATTTCCTCTTCTTACAGAGACAGCAGTCAGATTGGATCACAGCTCACCCCGATGAGCTAATTTTAACTCACATCTTTAAAGATCTTATCTCTATAGACATTCTCATCCTGAGTCACTGAGGGTTAGGGCTTCAATATGCGAATTTCAGGGAGACGTAGTTCAGCCCACAATAGGGCTGGTCCTTGTGAAGCCTCGCAAACTAATGCCTGACCTTGTTTATTAGGGGCGGAGGCTTTGGGTTAGGACCATCTCAACCAGGGGCAATTTATCCCCCAGGGGACATTTGGCAATGTCTAGAGATATATTTGTCATATTTAGGATCAGGGGTTGCTAATAACATCTAGTGAGTAGAGACCAGAGGTGCTGCTAAATATTCTATAATGCACAGGACAGCCCCTGTGCCCCCAGTAACAAAGAATTATGAGGTCCAAAATGTCCCTTGACATTTTGCTGAGGTAGAGAAATCCTAGGCTAAATCGGCTTCAATTTGAATCCCTGTGACGACACCTGATACATGTGTGAATGTACACTGCATCTTTACAAACATCCTCATCTGTAAAGTTCTCACAGTGGGTTAAACGAGATAATCTATTACAGCTCTTAGCACATAGCCTGACTCCTGGGAAGCTCTCAACAGCCTTTAAGTGCTCTATAGATTTCTCACCCACAGATGCCTCACTAGAGAGCTCAGGTTGGAATTAGCATTGGAAGCATCCAGCATGAGAAAAGAGGGACAACCCATCCAGGCACAGGGAGGTAATTGGGGCCACGAGAAGGCAAAGGTCACAACCTGCAAAAATAGACTACATTCCATATCTTTGGATGTTTTCCAGTTTTAAATGTCTCCTTCACTGGGCGAAATATGGCTTGAATTAGGGGCAGCCCTTTCTCTGAATGTAAAAGGTTACATCATGCATTTCCAGTATCTGGGCAGCTTGCTGCTTCTTCCTTGAAATCATTTTAGTAGAGAATTGTTGGGCACATCAGAATTCTTGCTCACCGTGTCAGATCCAGAAGGTCCTGGAGGAAAAGGGAGAGATAGACAGAGGAGTAGAAAACATTTGTTCAAGCAGGGAAGACTGTTTGACATACACCAATATCTGCAGAGTTTTCTGCTAATTAAAACAGTCATTAGAATGCATTTTCATATGAGACTCTGTTCTGGCATTTGTACAGAAAGAGTGACTTGAGCCATAAAGTGGTTTTGTCCTCTTTCATTAACTTCCTACACTCTACAAAGTGTGGTCGTTGGACCAGCAGCATTTGCTTCCTGGGGGTGGGGTTGTGGGGAGCTGGTGAGAAAGGCAGAATCTCAGGTTCTACTCTGGGGACCTGGGGAGGTAGGACCTGCATTCCAGTGACATAGCAAGTGATGCCTCTGCAGCGTGAGAAGAGCTACTCTAGGCTGTGAGCCATTTCTCTCTCCCCCTTTTACTCGTATTTAATGGTTTCATGGATCTCTTACACTTGTATTTTTTATTGTGGGCCACCTCAAATCCTTTTCGGGCCTTGATGTTGTATAATATTTAGTAAATGTTAAGTACCAACTGTCCTCCAAACCAGGGTTTGGTGGTCCAGGCATTTTCACATGTATTAGAGAAATGATTTTAATAACAGCTTTATGAAGGAGAAAGAGGAGCCAAGTCGTTTTAACTCAATTCAGTGTTAATAAGTAACCACCATTAATTGATCATCTACTGTGTATTAGCCCTGGATATGCAAACTCACTCAGTCCCCACAAAATTCTCTGAGGTGGATGTTTTTATCTCCATTGTATTGGTTAGGAGTGGAAGCTCAGGAAGTTCATATGCTCTGAGGAAGGGGGCCTTTGCTAAGCAGTGGCTTCAAGGGTTTTCCCTAGCTCCTATCACCAGCACCAAAACACCCACTAAAAATAAATCTGATAAGTAATTATACAATTGAGGTCATTTTGCATACAACTGTGCATAATAAATAAAATTGTGCTTGTGATACAAACGTGCTTCCAGACACTCCCTTTCTTTCCACTTGCTTATTCTCCCACTGCCCTTCCGAAGGGACCTCTTGGAGTGAAGCTGCTCCCAGCACCACTTTGCTTCACCACAGTGACTCCAAAGTTTTGGCTGGAAACGAAGGAAGTGAAAGTTCTAAGTTACTTGCCAAGTGCTTTTTTTTTTTTTTTTTAATTTAAAAAATGTTTGTACTTATTAAATTTCAACAAGTGTCAGTAGCCAAGTGTCTTAAACTCAGGAAGACTTTGGGAAATTTTCTACGGCATTACAACAGACCTTCCAAGGAGTCCCTCAACTTGCCAGTCCAGAGTCATCCCCTGTCTGGTCCCTTTAAACAGAAGCCATGTGATTGACTCTCCTGGAGCGTGTTGCTCTCCTTCGATTATGATTTTAAAAGCCCATATGACACTGGTGTGTGGACTTAATATCTTTCCATTATGCTCTGGGCAGAGGGAAGGTCCCAGCATGGGTTTCTGCGACTGAAGGAAGACTTAGAAGACCTGGAGTAGAAGGAGTCGAGATCGTTAAGTGTGGAGGTGTGGCAAGGAATTGCAAGGAAAGCCTGGGCTGTAGAGTCAACCAAGTTCGAGTCCTGGCTTTACAGCCTGCTGGAAACCAGGGCTTGGGCATGTGAGCTCATCTCATTGAACAGGGCTCAGGCATTAAAATATTTTGAAATATTTAATTGACAAAAATTGAATGTACACGAGATGTACAATGTGATGATTTTATATAAGTTTATATTATTTAATAATTGTCACTATCAAATTAACACATTCTTCACCACCCATGATGTATGTTAGATGCCAGAACTTGTTCATCTTATAACTGAAGGTTCATACACTTTGACCAACATCGCCCCATTTCCCCCATCCACAGCCTGTAGCAACCACCATTTTTCTTCTCCTTCTATGAGTTTGAGATTTTTAGATTCCACATATAAGTGAGATAATACTGTATTTGTATTTGTCTGGCTTATTTCACTTAGCATATGTCCTCCAGGTTCACCTATGCTGTAACAAATGGCAGGATTTCCTTCATTTTTATGACTGAATAATATTCCATTGTGTATACGTAGCACAGTTTCCTTATCCATCATCCACCGATGGACACTTAGCTTGTTTCCATATCTCGGTGATTGCGAATAATGCTTCTATGAACATGGGAGTGCAGATATCTCTTTGATAAAAACCCAATCTCTTATCCAAAAACCCAGTAATGGGGCTTCTGAATCATATCATAATAGTTCTATTTTTAACTTTTTGAGACTCTCCATACTGTTTTCTGTTGCAGTTGTGCTAATTTAGAACCCACCAGCAGTGCACGGCTCCCCTTTTCTGCATCCTTGCCAGCCCTTGTTATTTCTTGTCTTTTTGATGGTAGATTCCTAACAGGAGTGAGGTGATGTCCCAGTGTGGTTTTGATTCTCATTTCCCTGAGGATTAGTGATTCAAGCATTTTTTTATGCACTTATTGGTGATTTACATGTCGTCTTTGGAAAAATGTCTATTCAGGTCTTTTGCCTATGTTTTGATTGTGTTGTTTCTCAATCTTTCTGTGTGTAATTATAATGAAGGATCTGATATGCAGTACAGGCTTAGTAAGTGTTAGTTCTGATGGCACCAATGATCATGACAGTGAGAACTGAAATCTCAGAATATGGAAATATTAGACTGTGGTATTCATCTCTAGGGAAAGATTCCTTAGAAACAGTCATCAAACAAACAGAGGTTTTCATGCAGAGGTGGTGCCTGCTTTTTCTGTGCTCTGATACGCCGAGTGTGGAAACCACAGATACTGTCCAAATGTAGTGAATAAGAAAATGTGCCTAGACGTTAGGCAGCCAGGGTTCCATCTGGGTCAAATGCATCCTGGCTCCGTGACTGATCAAATTGGCCAGTCTCTTTGAGTCTCAGTTTATTCCTTGTAAAATGGGGATAATAATACTATGAGACTCAAGTTTCTATAAGGACTGTGCTTAACGTAGTGCCAGGCATGTACTTTAAGTATTGTTATTTGAATTTACATTTAAATACGTGGCCAGAACTCCCAGGTCTGATTAGTTCCTGTGGAATGGCCTACAGAGAGACCTTACAGAGTCTTTCTTGTAGATGGCATTTCATGAGCAGCAAAGGTTGTCAGTGTGGAATGATTCAGTGGGATTCCTGCTACACCAGAGTTCCTGGAGACTCAGACACAGAGAAGGAACACCTGCGGGCAGCCTCGTGTCCCATGGATACAGAATGCCTTTTGCATGAGCCTCAACTGCAGAGTTGCTCAGCAGTACTGTTACTAAAACTGGTCATCTACTTTCTAATTTTCTCTGCTGCCATATTGCCCGTCCAGGTAATTTCCATGTTCAGTATTAAAAGGTGGATACTTCCACATTGGTCTTCACTTTGATAGCATGTTGTTTCTTCATGTTTTACCAACCTGTGTGATCAGAGCTTCTTATACAGAGGCTTTAGGGTGGGCTGTTGCAAAACAATCCCTATGAACACCCATGTATCATATTAACAGTATGATTCTGGCACATTTGTGTCTGAATCAGGAATAGAAACAAGACCTTTATGATAATAGCTTAATATTTTCCCTCTTTGCACCTTGGCTTATTACCCATCTGAAGTAATGTCATCTATCTATCTATCTATCATCTATCTATGTATCTATCATCTATCTATCTATCTATCAATCATCTATCTATTATCTATCTATCTATCATCTATCTATCATCTATCTATCATCTATCATCTATCATCTATCTATCATCTATCTATCATCTATCTATCTGTCTATCATCTATCTATCATCTATCTATCATCTATCTATCATCTATCTATCATCTATCTATCATCTATCATCTATCCATCATCTATCTATCATCTATCTATCATCTATCTATGTATCATCTATTATCTATCTGTCTATCATCTATCTATCATCTCTCTATCATCTATCTATGTATCTATCATCTATCTATCTATCAATCATCTATCTATTATCTATCTATCTGTCTATCATCTATCTATCATCTATCTATCTATCATCTATCTATCATCTATCTATTATCTATCTATCATCTATCTATCATCTATCTATCTATCATCTATCTATTATCTATCTATCTATCTATCATCTATCTATCATCTATCCATCTATTTATCATCTATCTATCATCTATCATCTATCTATTATCTATCATCTATCTATCTATCATCTATCATCTATCTATCATCTATCATCTATCATCTATCTATCATCTATCATCTATCTATTATCTATCATCTATCTATCTATCATCTATCTATCTATCTATCATCTATCTATCATATATCTATCTATCATCTATCTATCTATCATCTATCTATCTATTATCTATCATCTATCCATCTATCATCTATCTATCTATCATCTATCTATTATCTATCATCTATCTATCTATCATCTATCTATTATCTACCTATCTATCATCTATCTATCTATCTATCTATCTATCTATCTATCTATCTATCTATCTATTTTTTGTGGATGGGGAGTATGGGTACTGTGATTTTCTCTAGTGCTGATCAGTTGAAGACCAAGCTTTCTGTGTTGAGGAGGTGAATGAGCAGAGATAAATGAACTCGGAATCAAGTAACATCCTATTTTTCTGAAAATCGTTTGGGAATAAGAAACAAGAGAAGGAGAATGCAGAGAATATGATCTGTTACCTCAGAACAAATGCTTTCCCAAAGTAGAGAGAAATTCTTTGTTCTACTCTGTAATTACGTTGACCTGTGTAAATCCGGCGGGTACCTCCAGCTGGGCTAGAATGTCAGAGAATTCCCGGTTTGTCTGGGTTACCAGATATTGTCTTCATTTCTCTTGTTTTTCTGCATAAAGGCCATTCATTCATTATTCATGTACTGGTTGAGTTATTGATTCAACAATACCGTTGAGCATCTAATATTCAGAGATGAAGGCATTATTTTTTATTTTTATTTTTTTTGAGACGGAGTTTTGCTCTTGTTACCCAGGCTGGAGTGCAATGGTGTGATCTCGGCTCACCACAACCTCCGCCTCCTGGGTTCAGGCAATTCTCCTGCCTCAGCCTCCCGAGTAGCTGGGATTACAGGCACGTGCCACCGTGCCCAGCTAATTTTCTGTATTTTTAGTAGAGACAGGGTTTCACCATGTTGACCAGGATGGTCTCGAGCTCTTGACCTCGTGATCCACCCGCCTCGGCCTCCCAAAGTGCTGGGATTACAGGCGTGAGCCACTGTGCCCGGCGCATGAAGGAATTATTAATCTTGCTTGAAGAAATTCATATCTACTGGGACAACAGACACGTACATCCATGATTTATAGCGCGGGATCATTACGGTGAGCACGGCTTTATGAACGCTGAGCAGGAATTTCCACCAGGTCTGGGACTCTCAGCATAACCTACCAAAGAGGAGAGTTGAGCTGACCCTTGAGGAATGATAAAGAACTTTCTGTTAGGCTGGGTGTAGTGGCTTATGCCTGTAATCCTAGCACTTTGAGAGACCAACGCAGGTGGATCACCTGAGCTCAAGAGTTCAAGACCAGCCTGGCCAACAGGGCAAAACCCCCTCTCTACTGAAAATATAAAAAGTGATTGGGTGTGATGGTGCGTGTCTGTAATCCCAACTACTCGGGAGGCTGAGGCAGGAGAATCACTTGAACCCAGGAGACAGAGATCTTGCCACTGCACCCCAGCCTGGGCAACCAAGCAAGACTCTGTCCAAAAAAAAAAAAAAAAAAAAAAATTATCCTCTAGATCTTGACGTAGTAAATGAGAAAAGAAAGGGATTCAAGAGAGGAAAGAGCATGGGCAAAGTGACAGATAAGGAAGTGTGGTGGGTTCGTAGAACAAGAAAAGGAAGGCAGAGCTTTTTCAGAAGGCAGTGGGGTGCCATTGAATGTCATTAATTAAATGCTGTTTAGTGCTACAAAAGAAAGGAATGAAAGAAACACTGTCTTATAACTCCTCGGTAGATCCATGTTTCCACCAATTTCAAGACATGTTTTCATATGTGGGTAATCCCATCTTGAGAGGGTCTATTGTTCTCTATTCTCCAGGAAATGCTGCAGAGTCAAAACATCACTTGACATTCCATCCTCTGGCAACAAGCGGGACGGCTGAAGCTGTACTTTGTCTTGTAGTTATGATCCATGACAATTACATTACCAAGAATAACAGTCTTTAGAGCAAGATCGACAAATTTATCACTAGCGTTTAAATCAACGCCCAGTCACTTAAGTAAATATCCGCTTTGCTAAATTACTTTCTCTGTCCCTGTCAGGGAGGAAAGGAGTGCCTGAGAGCTTTTGTTTGAGGTTAGAAATGAAGACCCAAGGGATGGGCAAAATGAAAGGCAAATTTCTCAAATAGTTAAAATAGCAGTGCCATGAAGTCAGCGGGGTACTTTTGAGCACCTATGTGAAAGCGTTTGACTGCAGGCTGCAAACGAGTGTCCCAGTCACCTGGAGGCAGAAATCAGGACAGTAAGTTCAAAAGCAGAACAAAACCTATCCTAGCACGCATCTATTTGGAGCAGTTGGGTGTGTTGTGAATGCCTCGCAGGTGGCTTTTTAAGCTCCCCATAATCTCTAATGTGTCTGCTTTCTTTTCTTACAACACAGGTAGGTGATGCTTCTCTCAGGTGTGGCAGATGGTATTGTTGATAAGGTATAACCAATGGGGCTGAAAGGTCTTGTATGTGGCAGTTTTCCATCTGTTGGAATGGTCTGCCTTTTTTTTTTTTATTGCATTTTAGCTTTTGGGGTACATGTGAAGAACATGCAAGATTGTTGCATAGGTACACACGTGGCAGTGTGATTTGCTGCCTTCCTCCCCTTCACCTATATCTGGCATTTCTCCCCATGCTATCTCTCCCCAACTCCCCACCGCCCGCTGTCCCTCCCCATTTCTGCCCTTTAATAAAAGTAATAGCCAACATTGTGTGATGGGGTACCAGGCATCAGCCCTATGAGACAGATGTTGTCATCCCCATTTTCAGATTAAACAAACGTAGTTCAATGAGTTTAATGTGCCGAGTTCACGTGGCTCCTGAGTAGTAGGGTTGGGTATGAATCCAGGAGATCCGCCACGGAAACCATGTTTCTACCCAGCCACTGTCCACCTGTGGTATCTGGACTTGTAGCACAGGATTTCTGTTTTAGCCTCTTAAATTTCTAGATTAGGTTTCTCAGAGCACATCGAAACAAGGGTTACCCAATGAGAAAGAGAGTGGTAGAGAGAAAAATAGAAAACCTGTAAGATTTTTGCCTCAAATATTCTGGTTCTAATAGAAAGCTCCCGGAAGCTCCACTATAAGCAAGGTGATTTAACCTCCTCGGTTCTGCATCTGTAAGTGGAATGGGATCAGATATTACCTATGGTTTTGTCCAGTCTTCCCATCTCTAAATATAATTTATTCAGCAAACAGAGAAAGAGAGGTGGTGGTCGTAAGGAACATAGGGTTGGACCTCACAAATATGATCTAATTTAGTTTAGGGTTTTTATTACAGAACTCTGTTAGTTGGGGCTCTTTAGGCTGCAATTATAAAAATCAAACCTGACCTAAGCAAGCTTATATTCAAGCTAGGGGATTTTATTGATTTTATGTTGGCAGCACCTCATGAGTTCTAAGCACTTGGGAGGCAGCTGAGCTTCAGGAAAGGATCCTGCATCTGGGACACTGAGAGCCTACAAATGTCTGTCCTCTTGGCCTCTCCTGTCTGCCTCTCCTGGACAATTGTAGTCAAATGGTCTGTTCTTTCTTGAGGGACAGTCTTGCCTGTTTACCTGTACAGGTGAGCAGGAAATGGCTCTGTCGTACATCTGATAGAAAACGTCTAGAGACTAATTTCCCTAGCTTGGATCTCACTGGGTCAGAGGGTGGGGTCATATAGTAGGAACAAGGCGGCTCTTGTGCATCTTTGAGAGTAGAGAGGAGCCATCACCTGGTGTTACGGCAGGTTGAGTCATTCCAGAGACTGAGAACCAGGGCTCCCACTTATCCAGTGTGGTGGCTGAGACAAAGAGATGTTGAAGGACTTAGACATACACATAGAGCAGTAACTGAATGGATTAAGAATGGAGCACAAATCTCGGCTTTTAGTTCTGTCTACTTGAATATATTGAATTACATCTCATTAGGGAGTCTAATGACTCATTTGGCTAGATTCTGTAACCACTTTGAGAGGTAATTCTATGTACTAGGAGAAGGAATCTAAATGAGTTACTCCCCTTACTCTCCCAAAGAGATATGTCTTTTCCTATGAACATTTAATTGGTCCAAAATAAATTAAATCGAAATTGTTTCCCTACACAGTAAGCTTCCATTTAAACTCTAACATCATAAAACTGTTGGGCTGGGCGTGGTGGCTCACGCCTGTAATTCCAGCACTTTGGGAGGCCGAGGCGGGCAGATCACAAGGTCATGAGTTCAAAACCAGCCTGGCCAACATGGTGAAACCCCATGTCTACTAAAAATACAAAACATTAGCCAGGCATGGTGGTGCAAGCTATTTGGGAGGCTGAGGCAGGAGAATTGCTTGAACCTGGGAGGCAGAGGTTACAGTGAACCAAGATTGTACGACTGCACTCCAGCCTGGAGACAGAGTGAGACTCCGTCTCAAAAAAAAAAACAAAAAAAAAAACCCCAAAAAACTATCAGTAAAGTCTTTAATT